CCGGCGCCCTAAAATCAAGAAATACGCCCTTAACGCCCTTAGTGCTAACTAGTATGAGCGGGGAGACGCTGCAAATTAATGGTCCTCCTTGCAGTAACCGTGGATTATCGGCCATGCACTCCGAACCTTCACGGGACGGCACGGGTACGGGAGCCAAACTACGCACTGCGTTGGACTCCATTCCTCCGGACATGGAGGTCGTCGATTGTAACCTTTCAGGACGATAGTCGATACCATGGATGAAAAGATATATCCGTCGCGAAGAATAACAAGAAGCATTCGCAACACACCGCTCTTTCGTGTTTTCACTTTGAATCGCGATTCGAGCCATAGTTCATACCTTACTTGGGTTGGTACGCCCGTATGCCGGACTAGGATATCACAGTCAAGAGATAAACATGTTGACATGCCATCCTGGATTGTCGCTATTCGACACTATCCGGTTTTAGGGCCAGGGAAGACCGATAATGGGTGCAATTCCCTTGGTTGATTGGTTCGCCCCGGGTTTCTAGCATTCTGGAGGCAAAAGGATATCTCCCCATGTCCCAGATTGATTAAAAGCTCCCCCACATTCTTGGGGGAATTTCAAATCAAGGACGTTCCCAAAGTGGTTGGATGGAATGGATAGGAAAGAGAAAATGGAGCCAAGACCCAGAAAAAGAAAAATAACAGTAAAAAAAAAATAATAATAATTCGGACCAACAGAGTTTAGGAGAAGATACAGAACCAGGGAACTGCAAAACATAATCGTAAACAATTTGAGATCGAACGTCGACAAGAGACCACATGAAATATCGCAATTAGACTCGTACTAAATCCGCACTCCGCCTATCAGAGCAGGATCTCGCTCGGGAGGCGACAGAAACCCCAACTGCAGAGTGTCACGGACCGCCTGCTGGATGTCAGCCTCGATAACGCTCGGACTTCCGATTCTGAATTGATAATGATCCTCCTACTAGTTAGTTTAGGGTGGGATTGATAGTTACCCCCCGTAGTAACTCGCCCAGCACCCCGTTCCTCGTCAGTCGAAGCACATTGTCCACTTGGTCTGTCGCCGCTTCGGCATATGCTTCCAGCCTGTAGATCCTTCCGGTGGGCCATTGCGAATGCTTAAATGCAACGAGATGGATGGTACTCCTTGTTGGGCGCTCTTCGTCCTGAGAGTTCACACACCGACAGATAGACTTCAGTCGAGAAGGAGATCATTTCCATCCACTCATCCCTTCCACATGGTGTCCCACGATCAGCCAGTAGGTACATTCCATACCGTTGAGACGATCCCTACTAAGCCTGCTTGGGGAAAGGCCAGTCTCCTCGCTCTTAACCTTGTCAGCTATGATGTCATTCTCGGGGTTTGCGAGGTAGAGAATCGTATCTGATGATTATCTGCAGAATGAATGTGGGAGCCAAACAATACAATAACAACATGGTTATGATTAATAAAAGGAAACAGAGGAGAGAGGGGGGGCAGAGAAAGAAAATAGAAAATAGAAAATAGAAAAAGGAAAAAGAAAAAGAAAAAGAAAAAGAAAAAGAGAACGCAGAAACAAGGATTTGGTGCATTAATCCATTAATTAATGGATGACTATAGCTTTCTGCCTCTGAGCTAGCCTTCTTCCCCCATGCTCATTGATCATTCTGCCTGCTGAATGATCTTGGCATGTTTGGAGTTTGCCCTAAGAGGGCATCTGATACATTCAGGCAAGCTTTGGTGTGCAGGTCCAACGATTAACCGCAGGACTTAGTTGCACTCCGCGTAGAGAAAGTCGCCCGGCCATTGTGAGTCATGACGTCGTGTCGAAAGGGGGCACAGGTGACAAATATAGTAGTACCTGGGTGCTCATGGGATTGCGGTGGGTGTTATTCTTCTCGATCCGGAGTGTGCTACCCTCCTTGTTGGAAGCATATCTGACCTTGCCCGGCACCATCTCCAGTCGTATAGCCACTCCGAGTCTCGTTCGTCCGTTATTCAGATCACCTATTTTATTTATCTCTGGACTTATTAATACAATGATGATTATTTTTTGTTTAAACTTTCACAATAATAAAAATAGCGATATTCTTTTTCTTTTTCCTTTTTCGGTTGTCCTGCCTTTTACTTCTTGGCCCGATGTATTGTCACATACCGAGCATCCGTTTACCTTCATTGCCACTGGTCCATTTATTTTATTTTTAATCACTCTTTCTTTTTTATTTCTTCCCATTTTTTATTTACTTTTCCTCCTTGGTGTGGCACCGAAACCTTGATATTAAAATAAAATAAAATAAAAAATTAAACTGGACTTTCCTTAGAGCACCCCGTAATGCACGTAATTCTTGTAGTCGGTCTTGTTAAGCCTCGTTGATTTTAAGATCGACAGCCTGCATGACCCTCTCCGTGATATATCAAATGAGAAGGGCCGACAAACGCCTCCGAACTCCTTTAAAGCCTTCATTCCCTCGTTGTTCAACCCTCTTGTATCTCCTTTGCTTTCCTTTCACCTGCTCGCCTTGACACTCTCCAACACAGTCCGACGAGGTTAGGATATCCATGCCATATCTTATTCGCCTTCCAAAGCGCTCTGCAACCGACTTCACTCTCATCGACCTTCCCTTCATGAAAGGGAACTCGAAAGACTATCATTTGGCTTGTGCACCAGTGCTCAAACCTCTTGTTCCTGTGGCATCTTGGTGCCAATCACTGTATATGATTCAAGTTAGTATGCCCTCTCCTGTCACCCCCAATCCTTGGTCCTGGCGTATCCGCCATCCTGGTTCATGACGACGCGCTGTGAGGGGGTGAGGCTCTTCATAGTTGCCTTTCCAATCCGTTGTTTCCTTTGCCTCAGCCGAGTCCAGTGATTGGAGTTTTGAGGCGCAAGCGGTCACTGCCACGTGCAAGGCACCGACACCTCATGTCTTGTCCCTGCCTGGGGGCCTCATCTGTCTCTACTTATACTTGTCTTTTCCCCAACTGGCATCGGTGGGGAACACCATCGGGGACGGTTCAGTGCCTTTGCTAACCCTTTCTGTTACATGACAGTCCCGTGAAGTTCTCTGATCGCTACTAGCTGCAAGTTCCCTACTTGGTGAGTAAGCACGGTTTCTCCTACGTTGTTTCCTAGGCCCAACTTCTGTCAACCGTGCATTTTGCTTTTTATTTTCCATGTTTGATTTGTTTTCATTTTCATGATATATTTCTCTTGCCTGGTCATATCATCCAGGGAGAGAGGGTATGGCGTCATAGGCCAAGAGCACATCGGAGCATCATGTCTCGGACAATGTGAGACGGGGGACAATACCCCTCTTTTCTTTTTATTATTCGTTTGAGTTTTCTTGTCACCCCCTGAAGGACGTTGGACGAGAAACTTCCCGCGTTGAGGGGCCATCGCTTGGAAACGGTGCTTCACCGATGGTTGCGCGGTGTCGCTGAAACCCGAACCCTGTATGCCTTTCTCTTAGCGGGGACCGAAGCCACCGATCGCATCTGCAGCCCGTGGGGCGCTTATTCGACGATCCCATTGCCCAGACATCAAGGCCGCGGGGCACTATTCTAAGGCACACATCATCTCACCGGCCCTGAGGGGGAAAAAGCACCTTGCCGGCTCAACCAAGCGGAGAACAGCGATCCGAGGGTCAGCTAAGAGGAGTCTACCAGAGGGAAAAGGATAAATGAAAATGAAAAAAAAAAAAGAAAGTTGGCTGTTTAACCGGAACCGAAGTCGATCCCCAAAATTCACAGAAAACCAAATTCCGGGGAAATCTGGCTTTTTTTTTCTTTCTTTCGATTCTCCACTCAGGCACCGAACATTCCATTTCGGTCAGAGAATACGATCAAAAAAGAACACGCCAGTAATGCCGAGGGTCACCGCCTTTACGGGAGGGACTGCCATTGCTGCCACTGCTGCTGCCATTGCTTACCGCCTCTCTCGAACCTCTTCTCCTTGGTTGCTGCGCCGCCCCCACTCGGTGCCTTTCCCAGTCCCTATCACTATCGCAATCCCTCCTCTCGCTCTCTATCTCTTCTCCTCTCCCCACTTTCTTAATCGTCTTCGTCGTCCTTCCTGTCGCATACAGACACATCATCTGTAACTTGACTTTTGTGTGAGCTTGGTTCACAGGCAAAACTCAACGCTGTCGTGTTCTGTCACTTCCAAGTTCCTTCCTGTCTCTGACCCACGTTTTTCTTTCCTTTTTTTTTTCCCTACCCCCCCCATTGTCTTGAACCCCCGTCGCCTCCGGACCCAGTATTTCTATTTCTGGTCACTTTTTTTCTCCTTTGCCCGCCTCGCTTATGGCCACGCATCCTTCTCGCCTCCTTTAGCCTGTTCCTATTCTGTGGTGATCCCGGCTCATCTATTTTCTATTGCTTACACCCTTAATCTCTCAGCGGTATCTCGTATTTCTCTTTGTGCGCTCGACGGTGCCACCTATTGGGTTGTGACTCCCGCCTCCCATCGTGGCATTTTCCGCCTTGTCCGCTTTCGACTCATACTTTCCACCACGCCCTCGTTCTTCCGTGATTTGGCAGCAGCCATCCCTTGCGTCGCTGTGAATACCGTCCGCTCTTCCTTTCAGTCATATCCTTACTTGTTTAAGGGGCCCTCCGCACACTTCCATCGGTCCTTGGTCAGTAACCCCCGATCCCCTGATCTTATTCTTGCGACCTCGGCGTTTAGCACCTTGGCGCACACGTTTACTGATGCGGTTTGTGCACCTCGCTTCAGATCTCCCTTAGCCCACGCCCAGTTTTCCATTTGTAACAAGGCCCATTGCTCGACGGCTATTGAAAATTGAACCCCATCGAACTCGATCATATTCGCCCTCAACGCCCTAGTATCCGAAACCTGTGTGCGAATCCGCCCGAAGATCATCGTTTCCGAACCCATCGCGCCACTCGAGGTTGGGGTTGGTTTTCCTGTCCTGCACTAAACTCCGGACATTTCAGATCTTGGATCGTAAGGGGTTCCCTCCGGAAACGTGCTTGACTTTCCTGTTCGGAGCTGCCAACCAGCTGCACGATGGCGGAAGCGAGTATTTTCATAAAGCATGATCCTGACGACCACAACAGTGACCGCAAACATTTCATGATGTCGCACGCCGGCTATTCGATGCCCAACCAATACGGCAGCACCAATGACGGTGTTGACCCCTCCGAACTGACCATGCACAACAGTGGATTCATGCCATATAACTTTGGGTCCCAAAGTTTCAACTTCGGCGGCAACTCGGGAATTGACACGGATGAGTTGCTCGACTTGGAGATTAATGGACAGAATGGCATCCAGCGCGCTGATAGTATGAACTTCCTCCAGGAGCAACACTCGAGCGCTGGAATTTCGATGAGTCACCCAAATCAGATGTCCCAGATGTACTCAAATACGCCTGATGGGGCTCCGATGCATAGTCCCTTCCTGCATAACAGTTTCAATTATGACCATTTCCGAGCCATGAACCAGCAGCAGCCGGGTGCGCATATGCAAAATGCCGGCTCCCATTTTGAGCAGAACTACATCAATACCAAAGGACGGCCCAATCTGCAGACCATGGATCGTTCCGCTGATGGCCGTAGCCCTATGACACCCAAGACCCCTGCCTTGGGTGGCTTAACCCTTGGAACACCGGAGTCCGGCAGTTTCCCAACGGCACAGCCCATCAGGACTGGATTGCACCCTCGTCACCAAAAGACTCTTTCGAACCAGTGGGACGGAACCCCAGGAAGTGCTCATTCATTCGGAGTTGAATCTCCCATCTCATCTCCTCCCAATCCCCACCATGTTGGAATCTCCGAGATTCTGAAATCGGGCAAGCATGCTTCCTTGCCGGCCAAGGTTGATACACACATGCCCGGAACTGCCCAGGATTTGGAGTCACAGGAAGCCAAGCGACGTCGTCGGAGGGCGTCGCATAACCTGGTCGAGCGTCGTCGGCGCGACAATATCAATGAGCGCATCCAGGACCTGTCCCATCTCGTCCCCCAGCACCGACTAGAGGACGACAAGGTCCGGAAGCAACTTGTTAACAACACCGCCATGTCTAGCACTGGAGCCAGCGCCAACGCAGCCACGTCGTTGTTGGCCGGTGGCAACGGTCGTCGCGCAGCGGGCAACATTACCATGGGGTTGCCGATCGAGGAAAAGGAAAAGGGCCCGAACAAAGGTGACATTCTGAACGGGGCCGTTGGCTGGATGAGAGATCTGATGTGGTCGCTACATGTGAAACTCCAACAGGAAGCTGAACTGGCGGAGCTCATCAGCAGCTTGGGAGGCACTTGGCCTTTTGAGCAAACCGAAGAAGAGAAGCGCATGCGCACGGAGATCCTGGATGCGCTGGAGAAGAACGATCCTAGTTCCTTCAGCTACAGCCGCGCACCGGGCAGTGGGCTCCGAGTGCCGAAGCATACCAACATGGCTGGAGACTCTGTCGCCTCCAATGGCGGTTTGAGTCCACAGAACTTGAGCCCCTCGTTCAACAGCGGGGCTAGTAGCAACAGCGGGACTGGCCAGGCCCAGTACTGGAGCAGCTCCGGCCATGCGGGAATGAGCTTCAAGGAGGAAGATGAGTACGCAATGGAAATGAACTAGACATCTTCGATGGTGTTGTGCCCATTCGGGATTCTATGAGTGCATGCCATGCATGACCTATTGCATACACGGCGTCATATGGAAGGAGCGATCCGGCGTACGCGGAAGTCTTGACATACCCAGACTAATTTTCTGATTCACTCACCTCGTTCATGTGCAGTTCGCTTTGTTACTTTTTCCGTTCTTGTGGATTTACCAGGCTACGCTATTCTGTTGTCCATTATCTTTATAACCTCGTCTGTCTGTCGTTTATATCAATGCTCCACCCCTTGTCTTTTCGCTGTTTATTTTGGCTATTCATTCCTCGGGCTTCTGCTTGTCTACCGCTCATACTTGTCGCTTTCTCTATCTTTATAATGTTATGCATAATGACGGCCAAGACCGACTCGGTATCATCTGCTTTTTGTCTATTCATCCAGAACGCGGTGCGAACTAGTTTTCTGCTAGCAATGCTGCCCGTCTGAGAGGGGCTTCTCCATGCGTTTTTACATCGATACCCTTTCTCTTTTTCTTTTGCCTGCTCAAGATTTCCTTTGCCCATGATGCGATTGGTTGTATCTCGGATGTTTTTTTGCTGTGTTATATAATGGCTAGTCATACATGACGGTTTTTTTTTTTTACTGGTATTAGATTCTAGACCCCAAAATAGCCGATGTAGCCAAAAAGAGCTCTCATGGTCCGCATAGCACATAGTATGAGAGCCGTTTCTTTCGCACGAGATATCATCAAAAGTCCAATTGACATAAAAACAAACATATAGACAAACTCTTTTACACCCCCATCTAACTGAAGCGCAAGGTCTTTCTCTATTTGCAAGCAAAAGAAGAACAGACAAGAACAGAAACGCACTCGATCAGAGATTCTCACCCCTCATGTTACGGAAGAAATCCATCACTCCCGTGAACACCACCAACAAAATACCACCACCAGGACCCAACCGCAGCACCTTGGGAATGAATCCCTTGTACAGCGCTCCGAATCCCTCCTCCTTCATCACGGTGCCCACAGCCGGCCAGGCCCAGTTGTACTTGGGTGTCTGGCCCGCCACCTTGGGGCTGTTCTGAATCCGCGACTTGACCACGTCCATCGGCGTGTTGAGAATCGTACCCGCCGTACCACCAATCGTACCCGCGATGAGATCGTTCCGCGTCTGCTCCGTCTTGTTTCCGGGCTCGACCTTGGGCAGCTGCGCGCGCACCTGGAAGATACAGCCGAAGTAACCGGCGTTCCAGAGGATGTGTCGCCACAGCGTCGATTCGAGACCGTTGTACAGGGCCAGGGGTCCCTCCGATTGCACGATCTTCTTGACGACGTCGAGCATGCCGTTGTACTTGGACGCGCGGTCTTGCAGACGGATCTTGACCAGCTCGAAGGGGACGACGACGAAGGATTCGGTGGCACCGGCCGTGGCGCCCGTCAGCACGGCGAGCGATTGCGTTTGCTTGTCCACTCCGAAGAGGCCCCGGTAGAACGATCCCCAGCTGTCGTTGGCGGCGAATTTGGTCGCACGCTTTGGCGCTTCCATCAGAATTGGGGCGGAGATACCGCGGTACAGACGGGATGCGCTGGTTGTACGTTAGAATGGGGGGTTTTCTTTTTGCTTCGAGGGTTGTGTTCGTCATTGGTTGGTTTGGGGTGAAGTTCTTACCCCTCATTCTTGACGATCTTGCGCAGGCAGTCGAACATGCCAGTGTAGAACTCCTCGCCGGCGGTGCGGGTGCCGGATTGCAGTTGGCTGTGTGGGGGATTAGTTTCGTTTTCTTTGTTGGTGCATATGGCCTGATGGAGCTTACACTCGGGTCTTGACGACGTCCAATGGGTACCTGGGGACATTCTTTGGTTAGAATTGACATGGTTCGTGATCGGAATGGAATTGAGCATACATGACCAGGATCTAGATGGCAGTCAGTGGGCTGGTTAGCATGACAGGTCACAGCTCCGATAACGCACCTCAGACACACCAGCCACCGCGCCGGCGGCGAACTGGTACTGGAAGGGAAGGGGCTTCTGAGTGTTGGTCGACATGGTCGCTGATAGGGAGGCAGAGAAACTACACAGCGATGGGGACAATTGGAAGCTGGGGAGGGTGGTGAGGGAGTGGAAAAAGAAGAGCAGGGCAGGTGATCACGCAAGCGTGCAAGCGAAGGAGCGAAAGCGAGCGGAGTTGAACGTCGGAGCGTATCGGACAAATTCCCGAACGGGAAAAATCCCAGCCCGGTGAGAGTCCAACGCGGCCCCACAACGCTGCCGACTGCAAAACGCCCCACGGGGTGAGATAGGATAGTAGTTAAGATTATTAATGATCAATTCGATTCGTGGTTCTCGTTACTGCGTTCTAAGTATGTACATGCGCTCGTGCCTCATCCAATCGTCCAGAGCACTCCGATTAGGAAACTGATTCCGACCAGGTGCATTCCTTCCGGGAGGCTTCGCTTGCCAGCGGAATTCGTGGGCTGCTCCTTGGCTACGGTCCCCGTTGCCGTCCCCGTTTCCTGTGCCGTGCAACTGGAGCCGCATGCGAACCCTGTTGGACAGCATCCCCCACCCGCGGTGTCTGCGCAGCTGAACCACCCACTCGCGCATCGTCCCGTCGTCACTGGCGGCGCTTCCGTCTCGGCGGGAACCACAATGGTTCGGCCGTTGCTCGTGATCGTCGTCGACGGGGTCTGGGGGCACGAGCTCGTATCACAGTCGCGGCCGGTGCGACAACATCCTCCCTGGTAGACAGCGGAGCAGGCATAGAATCCAATGGGGCAGATCGACCCAGTCTGGGAGGCCGTCGCCGTCGAGAGACTCGTCGGTCGAGCAGGAGGAGTAAACTCTCCGGTGGATTCAGAGGACGATCGTGTCGTACTGCTGCTCCGGCTGCTACTAGAAACCGTGCTAGTCGCGGGAACCGTGTCCGTGACCGTCGACACCATGATCGTCGAGCTCACCGTGATAGTCACCGTGTACACGTTGGCGCCTGTAATTCATTAGCCCAAAGCTCATCATCTTGTAAATCGGCCCGGGACTTACAGCCACCGCTGACACATTCGTATCCGGGGATACAGCATCCACCGCCCAATGACGCAGGACAGCTGGTGTACCCTTGCTGACACGATCCAATCGTACCGGAGCAATGCTGTCCGTCCGGACAACACCCTACATCCCCAGACCCTGTATCGTCGACCAGCTCACAGGTCGATCCCGTACTGCAGCAGCTGTTCGGGCGATTAATTGAGGTGCATGAATTTGTCCCCGCGGGGCATTTGAATTCTCTCCGAAGAAGCGGTGAGAATTGGCCCATCCATCCGTGGGAGTCATAAGTCTCACCCAGGTCTAGAGACTGGGATGACTGATACGGATATATGCGAGGCTGGATATTAGATTGTGTTTTTTCTGGGGTTTGAGAGCTTTGTAGGTCGGTCTGGTTGACCTCTCCGAAGTACCAGTAGTCGAGGAAGAACTTCTCGCCTTCGTCGTCGCTCATCTTCTTGATACCCCGGACGGACGTTTGAGATAGCTGGTTTTGAATGGCTGCATTGCGTTGCAGGATGTTGTATGTGTTTAGATCTGCCTCTTTGTGGTAGATGGATGAGTTGCCATCTGTCAGTGCCTGGACTGCCAGCGGTGCTGGTCCTAGAGCCCAGGCAAGAAGAGGGAAGACCAGCATCTCTGGTCGGAATAACCTGTTCTCACCATGTTAGTTTATGAAAGCCAGTTTCAAAGTAAAAATGAAGATAGCTACTCACCTAGAACTACGACAGTTGTTTAATGTCAAGATATATAAATTCAGCCCAACCAAAGATAGATGCGATAAATCCCACTGAGCTTAAAGGAAGAGCAAGAGAGATCGGAAAGGATGAAAAGAGGAATGGCAACAGATCGACAGATATGCAGATCCTGACCGACAACTAAATATAATTCTAGTCCAAGTCTGAAGTTGGGCTGGTCGGTTTGGATTAAATCTTGAGGTGAACAAATCAGTGGCTGGGGAGCCCGTGCTGAAACAGTTTACCCTTTTTGGTAAGGTGATGTTGTTGATGCCTGTTTTCGAAGGCAGAAATATTATATCAAGATTCAACCATGCTTCGAATTGATCGCTTGGAACGTCACAATGCATAGAGTGGGGTATGATACTCATGTTTATTTATATACAGTCCACTAGTTGAAGACTGTTTTAGGATGATTAATCATTATAAAAAAACGCTGGCAATCAAGCAATAGACAGGGTTGTCGAGTCCTGCATGACTCCAGCTAATTAGAATGACAAGAGCCTTGTCATGGCAAAGACTAAACTGAACCCACGTAGTTTCAACAACCCCAATCAAGCTAGTGACACTGACATGAGGAGAATTATTCACACCATCAATTGACCTATCGGACGCATGCTGGACATCACTAAGGAACTGCTGGAAAACAACCCTCTTCTTCCCACTGAATTTCCAAGGGAATCTCCACCGCCGAGCGGTAAGTAGACCACCTCGGGCATATCTTAGTCTGATATATTTACCAGCAAGCCATTCCCTGAGGGGGATGAGCTTTTCGTAGAGATTCATAGCATGTGGTTGGCAGTGGCGAAGCTCCAAACCACGCGCAAGAAATGGTTGGTCTGCAGTCAGCCGGTATTCGTAGTCTTTCAGAAGCATTATAAGTGTTTATTTTTCGAAAATATGGTCCCCAATAGCACTGTAGATTTGACCGATGAGATTGGCGACTCCAGCCATGTCGCCAACAGCAGCGGTGGCGGTCATGTTGAATCTATGGCGTGATTAGGAGGGAGATCATGTAGGTCCAACCTTGGATATGTGCTTCATTATGAAATTATCGTCTTACTGTAGTGGAAGAATTAACAGTCGAGGATGATGTTACAATGTCACTCCACTTGGTTGCAAGACTGGTACCCAGGTAGTGTTACTCTTTTCATTGTTTTTCGTTGGAGCCTAGTCTATAGATGTCTACAGGAAGTATCCGCTTCTCTGCTGCACCTTATCTACTGATTTATACATGTATTTGTTACTGTCTTCGATAATCAAATCCAATTGTCAGGGTTATGTTCGAGCCATATTGCCTTCAAACCATCTACGAATATAGTCTGAAGTGTAGGACTTCTGTGATCACTATCGATTAGGGCTAAAGTATTATATGCAGTAGCCGCTACAATTAGGGCTTTCTTGACGGAGACCATTCAACAGTGACTGACACCGAACTTACCTACTAGTACCTCGCCTAGTCACGTTGATGTCATTACATACGTGATGTAGTCGCGTGACTTGGGGCCTGCAGTCCTTTCCTTTGTCTTCCACAATCAATGCCCTCCCTTCCCTATCCCATTACTGTCTACTTGCTTTCTTATATGTATATGTTACATGGAGTCGTTCTTCAAGCCAGTGTCTGAGTGCACCAGCGACCGTGTGTTGCGATCTTGACTTGTCATTTAGAGTCAGACTCGTATTCCTCAAGGCTCCCCACAGTCCTCCAATCTGCAGTCAGTATAATGGACCATCGCATCATCTTTGTTAAACCGGGCAATCTGCTGATATTCCCCGCGTTTAGATTACTGGCCTTCACTTCTCATCGCCCTAATCTCCTGTTAGAGCTGCCACCACAATCCCGGTCAAATATCTCTCTGTAGAAACTGATGAAAATCCGCTTACTCTCATTGTGGGGCGAGCCTCTCGCTTTCGAGAACCAGCATGATAGCGACCACATGGCTGAGGTAGTAGTCAATCTGGAGTGTGGGACATGATTAGCGTGCAGGTCAAGCAAAACGAAACTGAGCTAGAGTAACACATACGAGGCTGTTTATGACCATATAGATCATAAGTGTGTAGAATAGGGCATCTGAGATGCGTGGAAATCTGATTGATCGCCATGTTTCGTCAGGTGGAGGGGATTAGGTGGCGGGTGTTAGTTATATTGATCCGACCAGTAGAGGGATGAGGATAAGGCATGTTCGATAGCTCCTCTCGAAGGAAGTGAGCCTTCTTATGTGGTACATACAGATGCCTGAAGCACTAGAACGATAAATGTCTGGTTTGTCCTGTGTCACATGTAGCCCTAGTTGGCATCATGCGTCCTCTTCACTCTCTCCCGCGGTTGTGATAAAGCGGTAGTCATTACATGATCAACAGACGAATGTCTTTCTCTTATATCTTACTATAATTCTTTCAGATCTATTCTTCCTCAATGGGTGACAAGTTTGGTAACTGAACAGTGAAGAGAGAGAAAAACATATCACCCGTCACGAGTGGAGGTCCGGACACTACTATACAAAGAGGATCGTTATTCAGATCAACTCGATAAGTATCTACTGTACATACACTCATATTATCCTCACGCAGTGCGTGACATGAGCAAGAACCACACATTCACCGAGAGACCAGACTCAGTACAACCATTGATCCCCAGTCAATGATCAGTTTTGCACAGTGTAACCACCCAATCAGACCCAGCAATCTGACTCTCGATTCACTTACTGCTCAAGCATCCCATGTAACCTGATGTGCTCACTAGACACGATGAGGTCAAGTCCAGTGTCTTACTCCACTCCTGAAACTCAACCTTTTGAGGGTTTACTCCTTCGTCATCTGTCTCTGTTCCCCTCCGCCTCCTGTCATCTTTTACATACTCGCAGCTCTCTGATATCTTACTCTCACAGCATTTCATCTGATCTCTCACAGGTGCAAAGCCAAAGTCTAACACAATATGTCATTCCGTGGCTTCAGAGATACCCCCCAGAGAAGGGAAGGTGGGCCGACAAGAACTCAAGGAAGAAGCGACGCAAAAGCCATCATTTACTTGTTTGTCCACTAGATGCCATCACTACTGAAGTCACAGTACTAACAAATGATTCCATATAGACCACCAGGTGGGAAAGTTCCCCCTCCCGATCCCACCGTAAGGAGAATCGAAGACGGAATTCAGAAAGCAACCGCAGATCCCTTGACTCTTAGCAAGCTCCAACTGAATTCTGAATACCTTCCTCGCCCAGGGTATGGAACGAAAGGAAGGCCGGTGACTCTATGGGCGAATTACTTTCATATCACTCCGGACCCCAATCTAGTCTTCTACAGATACGCTATTGATGTGAGACCCGCTGCATCTGGCAGGAAGCTGGCCCAAATCGTTAGATTGGTGCTCGAGGCGCCAGAGATTACCTCGATGGCGGCCGACCTAGTCACCGACTTCAAATCTACCATCATATCACGGGTAAGATTGCCGTTGGCAAATAATGCAATCATCGTACCCGTGCTGTACCGAAATGAACAAGAGGACGAGCCCACTGAGGACGCCACTCAGTACAGAGCCCGCATCTTATACACCAATACGCTACGGGTCATGGAGTTGATAGAGTATCTCACGTCAACCAACTTTAGCCAATATGATGAAAAGCTCCCCATGATCCAAGCGCTGAATATCCTTCTGAATCATTACCCCAAGACATCTCCGGACCTTGTCTCGCGTGGTGGTAATAGAGCTAATAGAAGCTTTCCACTTAGCAACAAGGCTTCACAGTCAGACAAGGCGCGTCTACTTGGAGGGCTAATAGCAATTCGTGGGTTCTTTTCGAGTGTCAGACTCGCCGCGGGTAGGGTCCTGGTTAACGTAAACGTTAGCCATGGAGTATTCTACAACAGCGGAAGTCTGATTGTCTTCATGGATACATTTCAAAAGGCAAATGGCAAGAGCCTGCCTGCCTTGAACGAAGTACTGCATGGTATCCGGGGACGCACACTCCATCTACCCGAAAGGAGAAACCGAAGCGGCGAGCTTATCATCAGGTCTAAGACGGTTCATTCTCTTGCAAGGCGTGGCGATGGTACGGACCTGCCGGGGGCAAGACGACCCGAGATACACTCATTTGGCGCTGGCTCTAAAGGTGTAAAGTTCTGGCTAGAACCTCGCCAACTGGGATCGAAGAAGAAGAAACGCCAGCAATCAGGACCCGCAGCATCACCAGCTGGCCCCGCGAGGTTGATTAGCGTGTATGATTACTTTCTGGAAAGTGAGTTTTTATACGTAAACTGAGACGAAACAGCTGCTTAACTCACACATGGTGTCTAGCGTACAACATCCGAGACCAACGGCCGGATTTGCCTGTCATCAATATTAGTACACGGGGCAGTCCGATATACCTATTGGCACAAGTGTTCGAGATACTTCCGGGCCAGGTCCACAACGGAAAGTTGTCCCCCGCCCAGACGCAAGACATGATCAAATTTGCCGTACGTCCGCCCTTACAGAACGCCTTTTCTATCGTCAACCAAGGAGCAGACACTGTTGGGTTGAACCCTTGAAGAAACACAATGCTTGTAAGTCCTTATCATGAAACGGTATTTGTTAAACATAGCAACGTTTAACTCATGGTAGACACGATTCGATATATCCACGGCGAGACAGCTGATCACCGTCGAGGGGCGGATCTTGGACCAGCCAAATATTATGTATCGGGGGAATTCCACTGTGAAGCAATTTCCAGGCTCCTGGAATCTGATCAGCACCAAATTCAACATCCCTGGTCAACGGCTGCGTAAATGGTCGTATCTTCTGCTCTCGGATAAGGAAGTGCAAGAAACCTTTCCCGACGTGAAAAGTTTCCAACCAGTTGTCAACAAGCTCCAGGCTGCCCTTCTCGACACCGGTGTTCTGGTAGACGCGCCCCTCATCGGAAAGATAATCAAAGTGGATAAGGATAAAACAAAGGATCTTGATAATGTGCTTCAAAGAGCAGCCGAAAATTTAGACCTCCTCTACATTATCTTGCCTGAGAAGGACAGTCGCTGGTACCCAGTAATCAAACGACTGTGCGATGTGGAGTACGGGTTGCAGACAATTTGCAGTGTTGGTTCTAAGCTGGTTGCCAAGAAAGGTCAAACGCGGGATCAATATGACAAGGCCCTGGATCAGTATATGAGGAATGTGGCAATGAAGTTCAACCTGAAGCTGGGCGGGACGAATCATGCTGTGGACGATCTCCGTTCAAGTATCATCACTGAAGACAAGACCATGATTATTGGACTGGATGTAACACATCCAACCGGGTCTTCGCAAGGCTTTTCAGTCACTGCACCTAGCGTGGCAGCGATGGTTGCCAGCATCGACAAAGGACTCGGACAATGGCCTGCAACTATTCAGCTCCAGTCCCGTGGAGGAAAGGAAGAAATCGACAGCTTGGATATTATGTTGAAGCGGCATCTTAGGCTATGGAGACTCCTCGGAAAGCACGCATCATTCCCCGAGAACATTATCGTCTTCCGTGATGGAATCTCAGAAGGCCAGTATATGAAGTGCTTGACGGAAGAGCTGCCGCTACTGCGCAAGGCCTGCCGGGAAGTCTATCCAAAGGAGATGCAAGAGAAGAACCTTCCCAATTTCACCATCATCGTTGTCAGCAAGCGTCATCATACGCGCTTTTACCCAACTGAAGTACAAACGGCCGACAGGAACGGGAATACGCCGCCGTGTACGATCGTCGATCGATGCATCACGGATCCCCATTGCTTCAGCTTCTTTCTCCAGCCTCATTCCGCTATCCATGGAACTGCCCGCAACGCCTTCTATTTTGTGATCCTAGACGAGGTTTTCCGCCAGCGATATAAGAGAAAGCTTCCCCCGAAATATAAGAATATCGCTGAAGTTGTGCAAGTTCTGACTTTGAACCTGAGTTACCTAGTTGGCCGTGCTACAAAGGGTGTTAGAGTCTGTTGCCCTGCACGGTATGCCGACCTGGTCTGTGACCGCGCCAGATGCTACTTGAGCCAATTTTATGAACCGGCATCCGAGGCTTCATCAGTGGCCAGTGGTGCTAGTACGATGCAAGCGACAAACAAGGATGTTCTTGTCAATGAGAAGATTCGGAACACGATGTTCTACATCTGATGCTTGGAGAGTCAGCATCAATAGCGCTTTTACAAGGTTTGAACCTACGGGACCAGGTCATTCTACGGCGCACTGGTCAAGTGTGAGCTGGACAGTCACCAAAAAAAGACCACTATGTATTCTCCACGCATTTATTATGAAAGCGATTAACCGCGCGAGCTGAAATTTCATCATCGCAGATAACACATTGTTTTGTACCTGCTTTTTGACCTAGTACCGCGAACGAGAATAATAACATAGTATGTAAATAAAAACAATATTCAAACCGAAGGGTTATGACCCAAGGCCACCTTCATATAGACAGAGCCAACCACGAAGAGAGAAAGAGCCCTATAAAATAGCCCCCCTAACCAAAAACCAAGCCCTCGCCTCCTCAATCCCCAGATAGCTAACCAGAAGCATCCTCCCAAACACATCCACATCGCTAGCCCTAGCCTCCGTAAGCACCCTCCCGAAATTCAACTGGCCAACCACAAAATGATCCTTCTCCATCCACGCGGCCCCAAACTCGCCCGCATCCTGCGCCTCCCACAAATACGCCGACAGGTACCAACTATGCACCAGCCCCAGCGAACCATCACAGACGAGATTTCTCTCCCCCTGGACCAGCCGATGGAGCTGTATGAGGTAGAATGTAAAAAGCACGGTCCTGCGTGCGGATTCCTGGAAGATCCACGAGGTCCAGAAGTCTTGTTTTGCTTCTGGGGTGGGCGGGAGGATGGTCGGGGCGTAGGAGGGATCGGGGAAGTAGATGCAGGAGAGGAGGGTTAGGGCTGAGGATTCTAGGTGGGGGATCAAGGAGAGGTTTGCGTTTGGGTCTGGGGAGAAGAAGAGCATAATTTGGTAGAGGAGCAGGGCGTGTGTGTGCGAGAGGGTTTCCAGGGGTGTGGTGGGGACTGGAGATGTGAGCAGTGTTTGGATGTTGGTTTTGATTAGGGAGGTTATTAGGGGCCTGTTGACGGCGTTTTGCGTTATGAGTAGCGCGCAGCTGGAGTAGGCGTCTGTTGTTGAGTTAGTTTCTCTCGGTCTCTCTTCTTTCGTTTTTCTTTCGTTTTTATTTTTATTTTTATTTTTATTTTTATTTTTTTTAAATTTTTTGTAAGGGGAGGGAAAGAGCAGGAAACGACGGGCCGACTTGCCTTGCATGTGTTTGGGCATGCCGTTGACGTAGAGCTGTTTATGAGACCAAGGGGTTTGGTTCTCTTGGACCATCATCTTGGGGACGTCCCTGAGGACGTCGATGGCGAATTGGAGTCGGGAGGCGATGATTTCGGACAGAGCCATCGGGGGTCTTGCCACTGGAGCGGTCATTGCGTAGCTTGGTCGTGCGATGAGGACACCAGTGTGTGCATCTGCCAGACATGGAGCGTCGATGTCGATATAATCCCATTGTGGATCGAAGACATCGAGTGGATGGGTGACAGCAGGTGGGTCTGGTAGTTCAGGTATACGGAACTCGGTCGTACACGAGACACCCGCGTCCACCGATAACGGCGTGTCAACCGTCTGCGCAATCGATTCGACCATCTCGTCGATCAACTGCTGTGGGATTGCAGGCTGTTGTCCCGGGTAAATGCATGGCGTATTCCTGGTAGCGCATCGCGAACAAGCCGGGAATGCGAGATCGCAGCGGCGCTTGGCGGTCTTGCACGCTTCGCATGACTTGCGCCGCGGTGGGGGGTTTCCTCGCTCGGCCAATAAGGGGTACATTGCTGTCACTTTGGTATTGGTTTTGCGGACTTCCGCTGTTCAGGTGAGAAAAAAACCGATCTTACATTTGTTTGCGTGGAGAGAGATATGGCTTCATGTGGGTCTGCCCGGCGGAATTCCGCAAGCTAGTGGTTGTGTTTGGCCAATTGGAGCCGAGGCGGATGGTTAGGGTTGCGGATTGGGTGGAACTCCGCTAGGGATCATCCAAGAGCATTTCGTAGTATATAAAGCCGTCAACATCGGATGAGTATTTCAGAACATCACACTCACACAGTCTTCTCTTTCTCACTGGCAAAGTTACTCCAATTAATTCCCAATTATTCAACCACTCACAGCAAGACCACCACACTACATCCCACAATGTCCACCTCCACCTTCTTCGTCTGCGGTGCTACCGGCACCCAGGGCGGCGCCGTGATCAACCACCTTCTCAAAGCCGGCGCCAAAGTCCACGCCATAGCCCGCAACCCAGATACCCCAGCGGCCCAAAGTCTTCAATCCCGCGGGGTACACCTCACGCAAGGCGACTTCACCGACCTAGACACCTTCAAACAAAGCATGAGGGGCTGCACCGCGCTCTTCCTCAACCTCATGCCCGACCTACGCGTCCCAAACAGCGAAGTCCACCAGGCCGAGAACATCCTCTCCGCCGCCAAAGAAGCAGGCATCAAACACGTCATCTACTCTAGCGGGTTCTCCGTCGACGAACCCCAACGACGAAAGCACTGGGACCCGAACAGTTTCGTGGCGAAGGTTCTCCTCAACAAACAAACGGTCGAGAATAGAGTGAAAACGGCTGGATTCGAGTACTGGACGATCTTGCGACCGGGAAACTTCATGTCGAATTACCTGCAACCCCTTGTCCGCATGTATCCTGGCTTTGTTGAGACCGGCGTCTGGACTACGGCTCTGCTGCCTGAGACGAAGCTCCCCATGGTGGATCCCAATGATATCGGAGCCTTTGGAGCAGCAGCACTGCTCGACCCTGCCAGGTTTCATGAGAAGGAGATCGAGATTGCCTCCGAGCTTAGGCATGTGGAGGATTTAACGCAGGCATTGGCGCGTGCGACCGGGAGGGATCTCAAGGTGGTATTCATGTCGCAGGAGGAGATTGAAAAGCAGGCTGCGCTGAACCCGTTCATTGGGGGCCAGCTGTTGATGCGCGACATGGCGGAGATTGTAGACATGGAGGAGGTGAGAACGTGGAAGTTGCCTTTGGGAACGTTTGAGGAGTTTTTGGAAAGGGAGAAGGAGGCAATCAAAGCGACTTGGTCTGTTTAGGTGAATGGATCTGTTAGAGTCTACTTGGGTTCATCTTTGGATTGTTTTTATGTTGGCTTTTCCTTGTCTTTTCGTCTTAGCCATGTGACCATATATCGTTATTTTTATACAAACGAAATCCAGTGCACGGTCCAAATTTCCCCAAAGGCAGTAGCAGTACACATCAGTAGCTTTTCTCTATTACTCCACTAGTCAACTGCTTTCCAAGGAAACCATGACGGGTCATCTTCTTGCCGTGAAGAACAATGAGCTTGAGCTGGGCTGTGCATAGGGCAACAGGCAGCTTGCTTTTTGATATCTCCTTGCCGTTGTTGAAAATGGCTCGAATCTTGCTCCAACGGGGTCACGAAATAAACTTTCCAGTTTTCAGAAGCCATCGTCAAAATAAACGTCTATGCTTGTTGCGGTCATGTATGATGTAGGGCTACGAAAGTCTGGAGTCCTTTATGAATGCTTTTAGTTCAATTCTGTCACCAAGATTGGGGACATCCCCCTGGCTGTGTCCACTGTGACTGTGTGCACAACTCGTGAGTTTTCTACCCCATTTATATATACTGGGGGTACTAGTATTGCGATGGATGTTCGCAGGATGTCAGGGCAGCATGATCCACCTTCCCAATACGGTTAGCCTATATCAATGCAAAGCCAGGAATGCAACAAACACAAAATACCACAACAACCACTTCATCTGATCAACGTCTCATTGCCAAAACAATCGCAATGCTTGTGTTATCTCGGGCAGTTCGATGTAGAAACCATCTTGTACGATCAATTAATCGGGCAGTGACGCCCTTGAGCCCCACTTTGCTCTCACGGACTTTCTCCGTTTCTCGCGCTTGTACCCGCGATTCCACGGCAAGCTCTGAACTGTTTGAGTATACATCTGGGAGATGGATGTCTGTAACTTCTCGATCTACCCTGTACTGGTTCTCGTATCTGATACTTGATGGTAACGGCCGACAGCTACAATGAAGCTGCGAGGCTTGCGGAACGACGACGCGTCTTCAACGTACCCGAATTGAAGCGTCTTGCTGCCGAGTCGATTAACCAAGGCGCTAATGATGTCGCTCGCTTCGAGAAGCTTGCCGAGGGGGGATTCAACCGTATTTTCCTTTTGACAATGAACGATGGGTCCCAAGTCATCGCTCGTATCCCGTATCCTGGTACAGAACCGAAGTACTTCGTGGTAGCCAGTGAAGTGGCGACTTTGGATTACCTTCGTCTGCATGACATACCCGTGCCCAAAGTTTTTGGCTACTCGGCCACCTCAGATAACGCAGCGGGCACGGAATATATCTTTATGGAATACGTCCGTGGACGGGACTTGGGCGACTTATGGTTCGACTTGTCCGAGGATGCCTGTTCCACAATCATTAAAAACATTGTCGAGCTGGAAGCTCGCCTTTTTAGGCTACGATTCCCTGCTAGTGGAAGCCTTTACTATACGACGGATCTGCGCTCCAAAACTGATACACCATCCGTGCCGGTGGAAGATTCACCGAGCAATGGCCGGTTCAGTATCGGTCCTGACACTTCGTTACGATTGTGGTTCGGCAAAAGACGGGAACTGCAAGTCGATCGTGGCCCATGTATGTTCCTTCCACCGTTTGCCTGACAGATCTATTATTTAAAGTCCCACTGTGTGACGAGATCCACTGATAAACTGTAGATGAGACTGCAGAGGCGGCTCTGACCGCGGGTGCCAAAAAGGAGCTTGCTTACTTAGCTAGGTTTGGTAAACCGCTGCAACCCCTTCAGCCTATGTATAAAGAGTTGTACAAATACCAGAAAGTGTCACATTGTGGTCAGATGAGGAATTTGGAAAACTACCTACGTGCTGCGCCTCATTTAGTGCCGCAAAACCTCAAATTCCTTTGCGAGCCTACAATTAGACACCCAGACTTGCAGCCGAATAATATCTTGGTCTCCGAGGACTTCAGGATCACTAGCTTGATAGACTGGCAGCATTGCTCTATTTTGCCTCTCTTCCTGCAATGTGGTTTCCCAGATTGTATACAAAACTACGGAGACGAGGTGTCTGAATCTCTCGACACGCCTAAGCTACCAGACGACTTCGATAGCCTGGATGACAGCAACAAGTCTGAACAGCTCGAAATTCTCCGAAGACGGCATATCCATTACTTCTACGCGTGGTATTCTGTGAAGTTGAACGCTATTCATGGTATTGCTTTGGACCACGACCTTAGCATTCTCAAGCGCAAGATCTTCGAGCACGCGAGCCGACCATGGGAAGGAGACAATGTGTCGCTGAAAGCGGACCTCGTTCATTTAGCGCAGAACTGGGGCAAGCTATCCAACCCCTCGTCCGGCACTAATCCGGGCGTCTGCCCATTAGAATATCCGCCCGACGAGGCGAGCGAATGTCTGAATCTTAATGCCGAGCAGATCGAATCGGATGAAGAGCTACAGATCTTCAGGAACTATGTTGGCGTGGGGCCAGATGGGTGGGTGCCGTCGGGCCGATATGACGAATCCAAGCAACGTGAAATGAAATTGAAGGAACTTGCGCTGGAGGCAGCTGAGTCGGAAGAGGACCGGGCTAGGATCTCCGAGAATTGGATCTTCAAGGACTATGACGAGGAGATGTATCGGTAGCTGTGCCGTACATATTCTTTACACGGGGGTCTACGGTGCACCAATCATTTGATCACACGACTAGCGTCTGGATGTTCAGAATGGCTCGACTCTGCACTCTGCCCCAAATTGGGCTGTGACGGAGCTTGGTGCACCGATGGACAAGGTAGCTGCAGGGTTTCATTGACTTTATCTCGGATTCTCTCCTCTCTTAGCAAATGTACGCGAAAATTGCAGTTGATGGTTCTTCTGCAGGTCAGCCTTCTTTCGGCTGTTAACCGATCTATATATCGCTTTTGTGTCGAGCATCACTGACAATCTACCTTTCAACTTACCTTTCCCGGATAACTTCGTACTATCAACGCTGCCGGTGCCATTGAATTGGCAGGGTAAGCAACCCAAGTCTAAACCAGGGACATGTTGTATTAGATGAGTGGATAGCCTGGACTGCTATAGAATATTGTTTGTTAGTGGTGATGATATCGTCACGAGCCAGCCAGCCGATAGGGTTCGGGCCGTGGTTGGTAAGCCTGCCAATCTCTACCAAAGTCCCGGGCTTGAGTATACCATACTGTATACCTCATTGCTACTTCAGTTGATCCTTCGTGGGCATCCGTTGGTTTCCAACATGCAACGCCGACGAGACCACCGAAAACACGACATTCTCCGAGGCTTGCTCTCTCCGGGACCATAGATATAATGCCCATCTGGGCACTAGCATTCCGTTAGCGCAGATATCTCAAGACCCCGAGACAGAGCATTATAAAGACTCGCCAACACCGGACATGATGAAGTATCTCATGATTGAACCTGCCATTGGAGTCGCTACGAACATGCCGATGCACTGCAGAACTAGGTCACCGCCCAATCAACGCCTGATGGGCCGAAAGTCCCGTCTGCATGTCTCAGGCGATCGATTTGACTATATCGATCTGGAAATTGGCATTGGCCCACGTAGCGCCTTCTGCTCCATCTCATTTGTACCGGCTCTAAATGGCGAAATCAACCCATGCTGTGCGTCCATAGAACTATGAGCTAATTGCGGCTAAAACGTAAACTGTCTGAGCCTGGAGTCCAAGGTGAGGTGTAGCTGGAAAGAAGCCAGTACTATACAGCCATATGCATGCGAGGGACCATCACCAGGAAGAGGGGGGGGGGGGGGGTATTGTATATGCCAGTCTTTACCCTTGCCATTCTTTCAACGAAGTATTTCGCAGATGGCTTAAACCCTTGATCGAGAAGCAGACTCGACTATTCGTGAATAAATACCACAATCCGTTAAAGCAGTACTCGAGGACATTGCGTGCCTGTGGCCCGGGCGTGAGGGCATCCGGTTTGTGCAGCTTTTCATTCTATGGTGTGGATACTAATAGTTCGGGCGGGCTTAGATGATACCCAAGCACCTGCTTAGATCGATGGTCCCCTCTGGGTGCTATCACGTAAGATTGAAATTAAATTATTCGAGAGGGTCGAGGAGCAACGATCTGTAGTTACCAGTTACGTAAACCCCGTTTTCTAGGCGGATTTGATGTTTATCGGATCTAAGACACTGGGATCTGAGAACCCACCGGCATATTCAGCCCGCCACACCAGTGTCTTTTGTCGAATTATATAGCAGCACGTCTGCCATAAGATATGCTGTATGCAGGTAAGCGCTAGTCTGGATTGAACCATGATAGTGTCGATCGGCACGGACCGTGCAGGTCTCTGCTATGGACTCTGGTACGGAGTAGAGGAAGCAACACGGGGAAAACGAGAGCCATAGCGTGATAATTACCTTCCACGGTATATATTTAAGTCATGGCACAGCATATCGGTGGGAGAACCAAAAGGAATATACTCAAATTTAAGTCTATTGACACCGTGGTTTTACCACCCAGTCTTATCTTTCTGTGCTTCCACTGCAATCAAGTTGAGTATACAGCGTACACCGTTTCTTCAACCCTAGGACCTCCCGCTTGGGTACATGCATATACCTATGGACTTGTTACATAATGTATACCTGATGTCAATGTAAGTATCGCATGGATTGCGTCGTGTACGATCTCAAACACCTCACAGAGTCTTGCATACCATTTGACTTGCTGCAAAAAAAGGTCTCGCCGATAGTCTGGACCAGTCTCAGCGACTGGCTAGACGACAACCTTCCCTCTTCTGTGGAATCTACCTCCGATATGCAAGTATGTCACCTTCATTTGTATACTCGATCCTATAGTCACACTGTACGTGGCATTGCATATGCTACATAAATCACGCCCAGGTGAGCAGAAATGGCGAGCACACCTTGGTGACTGACTGACTTACCTGAACAATCACCCATGACGTTATAGAAGCCCCTGCCTTCTCTCCACCCGGCGATGTCTATAAGTAGAGAGCAGGGCGCTGGAGAATCAGGATCGAACAAATACCATTCTTCAATTCCTTTTTGAACTCCCAGATACAAAACCCCATTAATCTGTG